TAAAGACACGCTCTGCGGCTCCAGCAGCTCACAGTGGGTGAAACAGGTGAGCGCACAGTGACAACACATGGGGTGATGAAAGCTGTGGGAGAGGAACCCCGAAGCTGCTTTGGGAAGAGGACTGATTTTCCTTGCATTGTCCAAGGCCCAGTGTGGAAGTGCAGAGGAGGAGTGACTAACACACCGGGACTGAGTGTGGGTGGCAGACTTTCTCCAGAAGTTGCCCAAACACACACCTGGAAGAGGATGTTTGTACCTGCAGGGTTGAACTTGGGTCAGACTTCTCCGGCCTGGAGTCTCAGGGTCCAGAGTTCCAGCCACTGGGAGGAAGCACTTCCTCCCCAGTGAACCTGGTCAGTCCCTCCTTTCCAAGAAGGGCCAATCCACCTGCTCAGTATCACTGAAGAAATAGAAGTCAGGCCTTCCTAGAGAGCCTTGGCTTGAGGTCCTGGTTTACATGCCAGCCTTAGCCCAGACACTAGGAGCATAAAAGAGAACCAACTGGTAGCTTCTTCTTTCTGAGATGGTCCCACTGAAGCTGGCCTTCTGAAAGCTAGGGTCAGCAGAAACAAAACTAGTCCCTCATTAAAAGGAAGCCAATCCAGTGACTTCTAGGTTAGGCAAGAAAATAAGGGTTGGGGAAAAGGGTGACTTAATTCCTCCCGTCTGTCTGGTTCCTACACCCACATCATATGTCTTTGGGGAAGCCTCCCACACAGGCTATGATCCATTAACTACAGCAATCCGGCCCTGAAAGGAGCCCTTTTCCTTAGATGCCCTGTTGGTTAGTAATGGCCAAGATGCCAGGCGGGAAGAATGGAGGGAGGGAGGGAGGGCGGGATGTTCTCTGAAGAGCATGAGGGCAGCTGACTTCCTTCACAGCTGTGTGGGTGGCAGTGAGCTAAGAGGTCCCTGATCTCTTCTCCATCAATCAAGGGGCGATCAAGCAAAAAAAAAGTGCAATTTTAAAAGTTCAAAAAGAGAATCCAAACCACAGCAACCTCCAAATTATATTAATTTGGTGGTGGCCTTACGCTCCGGAAACCAATCACGGACAGGGCAATTCTAACTTCTTCTTCCTACTCTTGGATGAGGTTAGCCTTTTCTTCTTTCTCCAGGGTTGGTCTCCATGAAGCTCCATGACCTGCTTATTCCCTATTGCTCTGTTCCCTGGAGGCCTGGCCTGGTCTGGGCATCCTTATCACAGCAAGGAGGAAAATATAGAGCCTTTTCCTCTCTTCTGTTTTTGGAGAATGGTGTCCAAGGTAGAAGTTCATGGTCAGTGAGGAGTCTGGGCCCTCCTGGGAGGGGTCAGAAACAAAACTGATTTAGCTGGGTGAAGTCCTGTGCCACACTCTCTACTCCTCTGAGCCTCAGGGCCCTTGATCATGAAACTGGGAACAAGAGTATGATCTGGGGCACTATGTAAGTAAGTTTCTAAAATAGGAGTATGTTTTAGAGCTTGAAACATCATATAAATGTCAGGTGTCCTCATTTGTTTCTGTCTTTAGGTCCTTATTTACAGTTTTGCCTCTTCTTTTTTCCCCCTCCTTGCATCCCCCTTCCTCTCTCTCATTGCCCTCTCTGTAGTGCCCTCCTTTACCCCATATGGACTTAGTATGTCCACAGAAGAATGTTTACTTCTATGGTCCCCATGAACTCCTCCCCCATTCCTTCCCATCTGGGTGGCTAGAACCATCGTTTACCCAGTTTCTCAGGTTAAAATACAAGAAGTCATCTTTGATTTCCATAATTCCCACATTCCACCTATCAGTGTGTCTAATGGGTGATTCCCTCCAAACATAGCCTGAATCTGACTATTGCTCACCACCTCTCCTACCACTGTATTCCTGGCCACCAGCATGTCTTCCCTGGATGACTGCCAAGGCCTCCTAACTGGTCTTGCTTCTTCCACTTTTGCCCCCTAAAACCCCTTTCTGTGCATAGCAGAGTCATATTTGCAAAACAGGAATCAAATCCTATCAGTGTCCTACTCAAAACACTCCACTGGCTTCCAAATTGCTCACCATGGTCTACAAGGCCCTACATGATCTGGTCCTTGCCTCCCTCTTCAACCTTCAATGACTATGCTGTGTCGCTCAAGGGATCCTTTTCTTTCCTTCATACAAACAACGCTTTTTTTTTTGTCTCAGGGCCTTCGTATGCCTGATCTCATCTTGTCTCGGTTCAAGTGTTACCTCTGCAGAGGGACCTTCCTTGAGCTACCTATATAAATCAATTCTTCCCCCAATAACTCTTCAGCACATCACTCTTTGTGTGCATGTGTGTGTGTTTATATTACTTATTTCTGAAGTTACCCTATTTCTTTATTTATACATCTATTGTTGGTCCATGTGTCGGTCTCGCCACTGTTCTCCAGTGACAAGAATAGTATGTGGCACATTATAAGTGCTCACTCGGTTTTATGGATGAATGAATGAAAGCCCTTGCTCCAAAGTACTTCTCTTTCTTTTCTTCCCCCACCCTCGCTCCATCAAAATGCCCTCTCCTTCAGAGCGTGGATTTCATCTGGAAGGTGATTGGGAGGCTTCCACAAATATTTGCTGAATGAATGAAGCTAAAATGAATTACACTAACAAAGAATCCCAGCCTCTCGATGCTCAGTTATTCCCAGAAGTATTAGCATTCTCAAACAGGAAGCTTGAATTTCAGGCATTGTTGACAAAGGGAAGAATTTCAGGCCAGCCAAGTTGAAGTGATATATTTGGACAGAGTTGCTGTTCCCGGGCTTCTTAAACCCACAAATATTTGTTAAGACCCTTTAAATCTCCTTTGAAACCACAGTTGACATTAAAATGTAAAACACTGATTGAGAAGCAAGTGTCTAGGGGAAAAAAATGTGGACTAGAATTCGGAAGGCTGGGTTTCAACGCCCAGTGTGCCTCCAATTATTTCCTTGGACAGGTTGCTAAAGATCATCAACATTTACTGAGTGTCTAGCATGTGCCCTGAGCTAGGCACTTTCTTCACAGATATCATTTTTGCAACTCATCGAGGTGGATATATTTAGTATCTCTTTTAAGAGCTGGGAGACAGGTTCAAAGAGGTCAGGTATCAGGCATGAGAGCACCCCCTAATAAACAGAGGCACCTGGACCCAGACCCAAGACCGAGTCCGCCTGCTCTCCTGTTCCTTCCCCTGTCCCCTCATAAGATATCTCACATCTTCTCCCATGAATTTGTAAACAGGGGGCAGGGGAGGAAACTCTTAGGCTCTAAGATCCCTTTCACACGAGCTTCTCACCTTAGTGTTATTTCTGGATGAATACGGGAAGAAGAGAACACAAATCTGGGCCAAAGAACTCATCTGGAAGGTAACTTAGCTGTTAGAGCGAAGGCTTGGATAGTTGAACGCAACCAAGGTGATGCCTGCAGAGTGTGTGGCCCAGGAGACAGGCTTAGGGAGCACTCCATGACTGTCCAATATTTATTTGAGTATTAGCCTAATAATGATTGTGATGAACATTATAAAAGAAAGTATGGCAAAGGTGGCAAAAGGGAAAGCCCATTGGTGAAGGGGTAGGGGCTTCTCGGCATGGGAAGGCCAGATTACTGCTAGCCAGTCTTGACAAGTGGCTGCAAGTTCAGAGGCTCCCAGAGCCACCATATCAGCCAAGGAGATGCCTGGTGTGGGGGTGGGGGAAAGGGGAAAGATGCTCCCCAGCAGCAGCAGTGGCAGGAGAGAGCCCATGAAAGGCAGGAAACCCAGAGGCCGCAGGAAATACTAGTTGGAGAAACAAAGCGTGTTTGAAAAGCTGAGCCTGGTGTAAGACAGGAGCAGGAGAGGGAGCCCCATGAACAGTTCGAAGTGACATCTGTCCTATTTTCTCTGATTACCAAAGTAATATACTGGTACTTTACAGAGCTTTATATAATGTAGATAACAAAAGAATCCCCGATCCGAGTTTCGAAAATCTTTTTGTTGCAGTTTAATCATGACCCGAGCCGAAGGCAGTTGCTTAACCGAGTGAGCCACCCAGGCACCCAACAGAGGCCCTTCTTTAAACCCAACCACACTCCCATGGCAGCACTGGATCACATACATGTCCACTTGCTGGCCTCTGACCAGATTCTAGTCATTTCTTATGTTCATTCATCCATGTGACAAACATCGAATCCCCACAATCTGGGATTGGAGTAATGTACACGCCCTTACCTTCATGAAGCAGGAGGAGACAGACAGTCAACAAAGAGGAATATGTTAGTGATGATAAGGGCTATGGTGGGAAAGAAAGCAATGGAAGGAGAGTAAGAAGAATGGGGTGGGCGAGGAATGTGCTATTGTCTAATAGGTTGGTTAGGAAAAGGCTGCAAGGCAGACAAGAGCTGGGTTACGTTTTACATGATGGCTCTGGCTGTTCTGTTAGAAATGGGCTGCACGGGAGCAAGGTGGAAGACAGCAGACCCAGCCAGAGATGACTGTGAGCGGGACCAGGGTGATGGTAGGAGCAGTGATCAGCTGTGGCTGCATTCAGTATATATTCTAAAGGTAGGTGTGATAAGGTCTATAGACAGATTGGTTGTGGAACATGAGAGGGAAGTCAAAGGGCCCTGTTTCCACCAGGGACAATGCTTCACTGCATAGAGAGCACAGGACCAGGCCCTGGGTCCAGGGTCTATTGACCAAATGGGTGGACGTCTTTCCTGATTACAGCTGGCCAAAATTCCTATGCGAAAGGTTTCTTTTCAGTTGTCTCAGAGGTGGTATAAGATAAATCCTAAGACAAATAATTGCAGTCAGACTGCCCATCCCAGCTCTGTCACTTACCAGCTGTGTATCTTCAGGAAAGTTATATAACCTCTCTGAGCGTCAGCTTTCTCTTCTGGAAAAATGGGACAATGATAGTACCTCCATCACACTGTTGCCTGGGATACCATGAGAGCATACGTAAAAAGGCCTGGCATAGAGCCCAATATCCACTCAGGGTTTAGGAACTACCTCTGTTAAACCAGTTCCCAGATAAAACAAGCAGACAGAAGTCTATGGAGTAAGGGTTATCTTTATTTGAATTGCAAAATAAAAATATGAACCAGGTTTGGAAATACAGGTTGTAACAGTTCAGAAATGGCACCAGAAACTTCCAGAAGGGACCACGACAACATACCTTTTTAGTTTTCGGTGAGGTGGGTGGGTTTACACAAAAGCCCTCCTCACCTCCAAACTCTGTAGTAATTGGTAGGTCATCAGTCAACAAGAACAGTCGGCTCCAATGTTTCCTGCTCCTCCTCAGCCTTTTTTTGTTGCTAAAATCTTCTCTAGATTATCCTCTGCTGCACTGACCCCCACATGGAGTAGCACCAGAAGAATGGCAGGAGTAAGAGAAATGTCTCGACACAGAGGAGAGGGAGTTCCCACTCTGTGGGCCTGGGGCCGTCGGGGTTAAGGAGTCAGGAGAGCTGCGGGCATGGAAGTCCAATCTCTTATGAGATTTGGCAGGGACAGGACACAGGCAAACACCAATATCTGTTGGTATGCTTGGACGTCAGCACCTTGGGCTTTCAAAACACAAACGGTAGACAATATTGCCTAGGCAAGACCGCAGTCCAACTCATAGAGAGGATCTGACAAGGTTAACTCCTTTATCTTGACTCTACTGACCTCCCGCTGTGGTACTGCGATTGTGGAAGATCTTCGGAAACGTGGACAGAGAGCATATTACCCCAGATGGGTCACGGACCCACCTTGGAGTTGTGGCAGAGGGGTGCGACGCTGAGCCAAGTGGTGGGGTATACAAGGTCGAGGGCCAGGAAATCGCCAAAGTAACAGACTAGGCACTTGAAATATTATTGTTAGATTGTTAAAAACTAAATAAATTAACATACATAGAATAAAATAAATATATAATTTAAGAGGCATTTTACAAACAAACGAACAAAAAATAGTTGTTACTTTTCCATCTGGGTAGAAGTCCCAAAATTCAGAGTTCTCGGGCTTGTTGTATTTCACAGTTAGCTCATCAAATCCTGTGCTAGAGGCTCCAAATGGCCGATCCCTTGGTGGCCGCATGAGTTCATGGCTTGTCAATCTTTGTTACTTTCTTCCCATCCACAAAGTTTTCTTTCATCCTCTCCTTCTTCTTTTTTATCAGTCAATGATCCTGGAGCATATGGAATTTAACTGGCATCTGAATCCAGAAGGTAATTGTTTAAATGAACTTATGGGGATACGTGAAGTTTGGAGGAGGGGAATCAGAAGGGCACGAAGGCCTCTCGCTTTTGCTTTCTTCTGACCAAGATCCCATTTTGACATATTCCATTTGGCACTTGAAGGCTCTGGTATTTCGGCAAAGCAATTATGGGAGGCCCAATCTAGACAGCAACCGGGAACGAAGGAGTCTTCCTGACTAGCTGTGACGTACTTTCCCTCTGCAGAGTCTACGATCAGCTGTGCCTTCTCAGAGGTAGCAGTCGTCCCGCAGATTCCTAAAGCACAAAAGGAAGGCATGTAAAGCTGGATCCAGTCTTAAGAGGTCTTAAGAGTCTCTCAAATCCAGTCTTATAAAGTAGGGAGCTCATCTGGGAATGGGCAGAAGAGGGGACAAGGATGGGAGAAGCTGTGGTCTCAGGCATCTCTCTCGGGTATTTCTCTAGCAATTGTCACCCCAAGTGGAGATGACCCACTGGAAACCTTTTTGAAAACCATTCTGCAATGGGACTCTGACTCCATAGTAGCCTGCCCCCCAACCCCTAGGTCAAGAGAAGAATTCAGAATGTCTTGAAGGAAAGATGGTGATGGTGCCATTGGGCAAACAATGGCCCATTACCTTGAGCACAGGTCTCTCTCAGTGGGAAGTAGTCATGCCCAACTTCACTTTCTCTTCACTTTCCACATCATAACCTCCTCTCCTATGGTACCTGGAGGAGACAAGTTTTGTGAGCAAGCTCTGCATGATATGACAGGGTGCAGGTCCCAGGGAAGGTCCTTCTAAAGGACACTGCCATGGTAGTTCCCTCCATTACTTGGAAAAGCCAAGATGGTCTAGCAGGGGGTGCCTGGGTGGCTCAGTGGGTTAAGCCTCTGCCTTCGGCTCAGGTCATGATCTCAGCGTCCTGGGATGGAGCCCCACATCAGGCTCTCTGCTCGGCGGGGAGCCTGTTCCCCTTCCCTCTCTGCCTCCCTCTCTGCCTGCCTCTCTGCCTACTTGTGATCTCTCTCCTCTGTCAAATAAATAAAAATAAAATCTTAAAAAAAAAAAAAAAAGATGGTCTGGCAGCCCAACAGACCTCTGGTCAAAGGCCCAAGTGCCCCAAGGAATGCCTGTCTCTAACAGCAGGCTATAATTTGCTGAGAACTTTGACCTCATTTACATGATCCTCATACTATCCTTATGAGGTAGGTAGACAGATTCAATCACTATGAGATTATAGCCCTCAGAGAGACAAGTAATTTGGTCCAGGTCTTACAACAGATGAATTACACAGCTTGGAAATGGGCAGAGTGTTTGGTAGGTCTCCCCCAGTCTAGAACATAACCTGGACTGGAAGTATGGCCTGAGGTTGAGATGCCTCAGAATTGAAAGGCTATATCACCAGCCATGCTGTGTCTATCAGAGCACACACTAATACCATCAAAACACAGAGCAAAGGGAAAGAACTGTTGTGAAGAGGTAGAGCCATGGGTGGGTCACTAGGCCTGCTATGAAAAGCAGGACCTACCACGACCTGGCAATCTTTGCCCTGGACTCACGGCAGGCCAGAGAAGCTAGGTTCCTAGAGAACCTGTACTCAGGAATGTCAGTCAGAGTCCTAGCCTGGAATTTGGGAGGTTGGAGGGCTCATGTGATGATCACAGACAGAAGACCCAGAGGGTGGAGGAATGGGAGTGATTTGCAGAAAGAGCTTGCAGGGGGCCCCAATACTCACCTAAACATGAGAAGCCCCACGATGACAAGCAGACAAACGGACGACAGCACCACAGCCACCACAGCCAGGATGGTTGTATGGTCATAAGTATATAAGCGATTTTCCACTGGGAGGCTCAGCCCATGGCACCTCTCTCCGTGGTAACCGGGGTGGCAGCTGATTCAAGACAGAACAAAGTGGAGATGAGGTTAGTGGTTTGGCCTCTCTCTACAGGCAATGGGCCTCCTGCCTGGGGCCATTGATAGCTCTCACAGCCTCACAGCCTATCAGTCCCTGACCTTGATCCCCACCCTTCCTCTATCCTTCTAGCAGGAGTCTAGGAAAAGGCCAAAACCCCTCTGAAGGTTCTGTGGCTTTCCTCCCCATCCTTCGCTCCCCCTGTCCATTCCCTCTGCTTCTCTGACTCAAGATTCCTGCTTCAGGCAGGGAAAAAGTGAGGGAGGACTTGAAGGTCCAAGCTACATATATTCCATGTGTGGATTATTTATTACATGTGTATTGGGACATGCTGTTTAAGCCCCTCAGAAGACTTAGGTCTGTGAGCCGGCAGGTTGAGCTGAGGGGACTGAGTATTACTTCCTCTAGTGAGGCCCCTTAACTCTGACCCAGAAATAAACCCAGCCTTCTCCACCACGGCTTCCAGCCCTCAGTTCCTCTCAGCCACGGCCCATCCTATTAATAGGTCCTGTTCCTTTGCCAGGAGTCATTTTTCTCAAGTTCCCTTCATTTAACTCCCAGCTCCCTCTGGGTGCAGGGCCCACTTCGAAAGCTTCACATCAACTTTTGGCCTCTGAACCTTGGGCTATCTGGCCTCCTCCATCATAGGACAAAGCAAACAAAACAAAGGTAACTTCTTCTTGCCCAGCTATCTTGCCAGAGCATGCAAAATGTCATGGAAAACAACCCTCTGGCTTTTCACACCAAGAAATCAATCAGACAGCAAATGCCTCTTGTAACATAAAGCATTTCCTCGAAGCTCTGAGGAAGACTTGGAAGCACTTTCGGTTGAACAAAACATTCATGTCCCTTCCTGCATCCGAGTGCCCAAGAGGCCCTTTGATATAGGTGGCGGCCCCCCATGTTACAGAAGGGCAGAGCTATCCTCCCCATGGTCACTCAGCGGAGCAGAAGTGTGGTCTCGGTTTGTCTGACTCTGAGCTCAGTGTGCTCCCCAATCCCACCCACAACCGCACTGGCACCATCTGCCCGGAGCCTCCAGGCCACTGGCTTGCTAATGGAAGCACCGAGAACCCTATTCTGAGCTGTGCCTCCACTGGGAAGCAGGTCGTGCCATGTGCTACCTCAGAGCAAGGAATCCCTTCTTGGCAAGAGGCACCCCGGAAGTGGACCTTTCCGGACCTGGCAGCAGCAGGGGGACCAGGCCACCCCTGACGAGTGCCAAGCAACTCTCCCTGCCTCAGCTCCTGCTGGGTGCTTTGGGGAACCATCCCCCTGAAGGACAAATGGGGGTCAGTCCCACAGACACACAGCAGGGCAGATGGCTCCATGCCTCGACTCTTCGTGAATCTGTTCCCTTGGCCAAGATGGGCAAAACAACCACCCCCATCCTGACAGGATACGGAGGACGCTCTCAGGAGTCCCCCTGGAAAATCACTTATGCATAACAGTTTACAGTTCATAAGGCCCTATCCCTATCTGCTAGCTCAACTGAGACTCATAACATCGGGTAGGCAGGTACAGCCCCATTTTACAGATTGAAAGATTAAGATTAAGCATCAGAAGATGTGATTTACCAAAAGTAGCACAACTAAGAAGCAACAAGACTAAGACTAGAAACCAGTCCTAGCAGATTCCAAATTCATGATTCTTTCCATTCTGAACAGCGCAGATTACCCCAAGGAAACGTATCTGATGAGGTGAGAGTTTCCTGGGGCTGTCTGACCCTGGTCTTTGACTTATTATTATTAACTTGAATAATAAATAGCAAGCATTAAAAGCTTACTGTGAGCCAAGCACTCTGTGTTAATTGGTTTACAAGAATCATTTCATTTCATTTAATCTTAAAAACATCTCTGTGAAGTAGGAGTTAGTCTCCCCATTTTAAAGATAGAGAGACTGAGGTTTAAATTCTTAGCTAATTTGCCCAAGGTTACGCAGCTAGTGAGAGGTAGAGCCAAGACTCAACCCAGCAATCTAAATGACTCTTTCAGAGACTATGCCTTCCTGGGTTAGGGGTGGGGGGAAGGGAAGTTGAAGCTGAGGCTGATTTTCACTTCCAGCCACCCCACAGGTAGTTACTCAGATGATAGAAATAAAGCTGGTCTCAGAGTCCCACAATTCCGTTACATAATCCGTCCACCCCCCCCCGACCCTGAGTCAAAAGGATAATAATGTAAACATCCTAATATTACCCACCTCCCCCTCCCTTTGCAGATGACTCCTGACTTCCCCAGGGAAGGAGGGGGGTGAGTACGTTCTAAGCATCCCGGGTGGGGACAAGATCATGTGTCTTGCTCAGAGCCAGCAACCCACCAAACTGGAACGTGTCCCTCCTACAGATGTTTGCTACCTATTTCAGAACTTGTATTACAATGGGAGTTAAGAACCCTCTAGGGTCCAGAGACTCTTCCAAGCAGGGTTTCTCTGCCCCTACTTCATGCCTTGCTGCTATTTCTAGCCAGGTGATCTTGAGCAAGTTACTTTTACCTTTTCAAGCTTTGGTTGACTTGTGTAAAACACATTATTAATAAAGACCTGTTTCACCAGAATATTGTGAAGATCAAATGAGATGTTACACTTAACAGCCCTTAACAAAAGGCCAAGTCCCACATATGTGTGAGTTAATATAAAATAGGACTCCAGAGGGTACTCTCCTGAGGAACAGGGCCCCGAAGTCTGATGGAGAGAGAAGGGGGCTCACCATTCCTTCTCAGCATCTGGCCAGGGAGGCCAAGGGAAGGCCCCAGGCCTGTCACTCTTCCAGCTGAGTTCTCCTCAGCCTGACTGCCTCTAAGTTTCCTCCGGCCACAGGAAACTTTGCAGCCGGTTTCTGGGTCAGCAGCCAGTCAGGAGCCCCAGGAAACGGCTCTCTGAGGGCAAATTTGGCTGGTGACACAAAAGGGTTTTCCTGTAAATGGTGGCTGCGGAGGACTGGTTTAGGAAGCCAGCTAGCCTCGAGCTGCTTCTCAGGGCAGCGCGGGCACACCCTGGCTGGCGGTTCCAGGGTCTAGAGGGAGGGAGGAGTAACAAAGGGCCCCAAATGTAGGCGCCCGGCTAGCACACTTCCCCACACCAGGAGCTCTGTGTCTTCTTGTTGCACTCTGCCCTGAGTGCCAAAGGCCAGAGGCAGGAGGTAGCCAAAGCTTAGACACAATCCAGCCCCTAGAAAATCTGCCTAGGAAGCAGAGACCAAGTCTTCAAATCAGATTGCTCTGCTCTTAGGCTGGTAAAAGCCTTAAGAGACCTCGAACATAACAGCTGTCCTCTATGAAATCCTATTCAAACTCTGTAAGGACAGATAAGGAAAAGGGACACAAGCCAACAACACCCAGTACAGCCTGGGGGCATGAAAGGTATGCTGGACTGGAAGTCAGGCACCTGAGTCCTTGTCCTGTTTCCATCCATTTATTTAGCTGTTGATCTCAGGCAAATCACTTCCTACTTCCTGGCTCTGGTTTCCTCACCTTTCAACTAGAGATAGCAAGTCCTGCCAACTCCCCACCTAGGGCTTTTGAGAATCCTAGGACATGACTGTAATTCCTCATTCCCTAGAATAGCTGGTACCAGGTAGATACTGAACATGTACCTGCTGGGCTCAGCTCATAATAAAAGTTAATTGGGAAGTTATGGGGTAAAGGAGAGAGAAGGCATTATCACCGTTAGGACCACCTTGGCCCTGGACAACCTTATCTACTGGCTTTAGCTGGTGGGTCAAGCCCAGCTGTCCAGGATAGCAGCCTTACAAAGGTTCTCAGCCGAGCAGTCCAAGTCCATCCACCAAAGCCCTGGGTCAGTTTGGACCAGACAGAATCCTGGCCTCAATCCACCTTGACTACCCTCAGAGTCACCGCCTCCATCCTGTGCTAATGATGGCGTTTCACAAATTGAAGACAAACATTTCCTACCCTATCCCAAGACCTTGGGAAGAATACTACTATGGGGACTGTCTATGTTACTCCAAAGCAACTCCCTCTAATACCAAGGTCCTGACAAGGATGTTATAGGGGAGGACACACAAGTGATCATGGACATGGTAGAAAGTGACAGGTCTGTCTGCCAATTGCCAAATACAGGGCAGCTTTGCTATCTGAGATCAGATAGGACAAGGAGGGAGCTTTAAAAAGACAAGGGATTGGTACTAATCCCAGTAGAAGAGATGCCAGGCTGCCAACCTTCTTGATGGGTTGAGAGGTGGTACACAGCTAATAGCCTCCTGGCCCTGTCCAGAGCCCAGGTCTCAGAGCCTGTCTCCCTACAGAGGAAGAGAGTGGACATTTGTAGTCGAATGTGGGTGTTGGCCCCAGGCACAGCAGCAACACGATGCCTGCCAGAGAGAATGGCAGTACTGTCATCTCCAAAGGGGTGCCAAGGCAGCCGTTTGCTGGGCTTGGCCTTAACAGAGTAGCTGAGAAACCCAGTGTCCCTCCGCCCAGGGAAAGGGTGGTGCTGCCTGACCAGGGGCTGATGCCTACTGGGTTGGGTTCCATTTCCTGTTAATTTTGCACAGAGGACATGTTCTCCCAATCCCATGGCCAAAAGGCCAATAACCTCTATGTCCCCCGACATCCTGGCCCTTGTGGGGATGAGGAAGAAGAAACAAAGGGGCTTCTCCCTGTTCCCGCGATGACTGCTTTCTGTATAGTCCAGCCATGCCTTCAAATCAACCCACGCATGCTCTCATATGAGTGCACATATGTCCGAGCACACACACATCTGTACGGCGTGAGTCCACATGCACCTCAGGGCTTGGGAAAGGAGGCCGCGGGAGCTCCCCTCCGCCTGGGAAGCCTACTCAGCCGTGTGTTCCACTGGCTTCTCCCATCTGAACTAGGGCCTGAGGTAGGACTGAAGGACCTGCCTTCAGGTATCAGCTCTCCTAGCCACACCCTTGCCTGAACAAGCAGGAAATGTCCCCAAGGATGAAAGAGCGTCATAAACCTACACCACAGGAAATTACATTCCATGCGGGGGAGAGCCCCTTCCGCTGACTAAAAATATTTCCCCTCCTCCCAACTTCCGCCTGAAGATTGAGAAGAAACTGGGTAGAATTATGAATTCAAGGAACAGTAACAACGAGGAACAGCCACGTGACTGACAAAAAGTGTGCTGAGCACAGTCAGCCAGGGAAGGGACACTCACATGCAGGATGGAGCCCGGAGCTCCTTCACATATTTGCATTCACCATGGATGCAGAAGTCCTTGTATTTCCGAAGACAAGGGTCTCTCTTCCTCCCTAACCCCTTGCCTTTCTTCTTTTTTTTCCCACGCTCCTCCTTGCTGGGTGTGGCCAGAGCCTGTGGCTTCGAGGAGAAAGCAGCTGCAGGAGAAAAGGACTCTGTTAAGTCTTTGACTCTTCCTAGGGGAAAGACCCAGAACAGCACCCTGTCTGGAAGGAATACGCACGCTCTGATGCCACCCGAAGTCAGAAGACTGGGGAAGGCCCCCTAGCTCAGTGCCTCCCAGGGGGCTAAAGGAAGACTAGGCAGAACCACCAGAAAGCAATGGAGGAAACAGAGGCTACAGGGGTCCCAGGGAAGGCATTTCTCAGGCTCAGTTTAAGAACTTCATTCGAACAATGCTAGCTTCTGTTAAGTAACTGCCGCTGACTGGGCAGTTCCAGCAAGCTCTCCCCCACCCCACTGTCCATCCCCATTGACTCCCCCACGCCCACTTGGTGCTATTTTGGCCTTAAATCAACCTCATTTCCTGATGTTGCACTCAGTGACCCACTTGCAGGAAGACAGTGTCAGAGATAAAAATTGCTTCTGGAGAAGGTACTTGGAGGGTTTTTGGGGGGCTGGGGGGCTCCTAAAATAACAACAGTGTCCATGTCCAGACAGCCCCCTCTGAGGCACCCATTAGCACCAGGTTACCATAAGCCCAGGCCAGAGCCAGGCTTAGGGACTGCAAGCAGGCTATCCCTGGTCAGAGCCTTGCTTTTTCGACTTCAAGCAGAATATTTACCTGGCTCTGTGTCCTTTGTAGCTCACTACTTCTCTCAAAGGTCTATTACATTTACTCCTAAATGTCCTGTTTATAGCTCTCTAGGATGGATGAGTATAGTGTGTACATGGGGGCAAAAGATGGAAAGTAAGGAACTCCAGAAGGAACTGGAACAATGATGACTCCCCCCATTCTTTCCACACTTCAAAGGGGGGTAAAACAGCCTCACACAGACATCCAGCCGGGACAGACCGTGGGCTACGCCCATCAGCCCATCAGGGGTCTGACGCCAGTCCTCTCTCCCCTGCTCCCAGAAGAAAAAAATGTGCCTGCTGCCCATAACTGTAGCCACGTGTCTGGTGTAAGCACGAACATCATACATAAGACTGGAGACCCAGGGTCCTCAAGCGGGAAGTAACTTGAAAGAATATCATGGTTTTCCATTTTCAGATGAAAAACTTGAGGTCCCAAAAGGCAGTAATTTGGTAAAGGTCATGCAGGGTTGAGATCAGAAATGTGGTCTCCAAACTGTGGAAAGAACCAAGATGCCCTTCAACGGACGAATGGATAAGGAAGATGTGGTCCATATACATTATGCAGTATTATGCCTCCATCAGAAAAGATGAATACCCAACTTTTGTAGCAACATGGACGGGACTGGAAGAGATTATGCTGAATGAAATAAGTCAAGCAGAGAGAGTCAATTATCATATGGTTTCACTTATTTGTGGAGCATAACAAATAGCATGGAGGACAAGGGGAGTTAGAGAGGAGAAGGGAGTTGGGGGAAATTGGAAGGGGAGGTGAACCATGAAAGACTATGGACTCTGAAAAACAATCTGAGGGTTTTGAAGGGGCAGGGAGTGGGAGGTTGGAGGAACCAGGTGGTGGGTATTGGAGAGGGCACGATTGCATGGAGCACTGGGTGTGGTGCAAAAACAAGGAATACTGTTACGCTGAAAAAAAATTAAAAAAAAAAAAGTCAAAAAAAAAAAAAAAAAGAAATGTGGTCTGTGGATTCCATATCCAGTGCTCTTTCCCAATATAACCAAACTGCTCACACACCCCTGTCCCTTCCCCTGGATAAGTCTAGAGCAACCGGGATGTTGAACCAGGAATGAGATAATAAATGGGCTCTGAAGTCAGCAGACCTGTGCTCCAACTTCAGCTGTGTGATTTTGGGCAAGTGGCTTAATCTCTCTGAACCTTGGGGTTCTCAGTAAGTAGTGGCTAGCACAAGTTTAATCTTAGAGGATTGCTATAGGATTAAGCAACCCACAAGAGCACAGTGATTGCCTAGAGCACAGTAGGTACTTAATAATTGGTAATAGTTATTAATTTTAGATGATAGGATCCCCAGACCTGAAAAAAAAAAGAGCTTTCACCAAGCAAAGCCAAGAGAAGGGAAAAAAGGCAGGTGCCAGTAGTGCCCCAGTCCCGTTCCCTCTGGTGTAGACCCAAGTCCCTTCAGAGCTCAGACGGTGAGGCAGATGCTCAGAAAGACCAGAGCTATGGTAAAACTGTGGCAGGAGGGGCAAGCCAACAAGAGAGGAAGAGAGTGACAGGGTGACAGCGACACTCCTGCCAGGGACAGGGAGCAGTGAGTCAGGTTCTGCAGAGGTATGAGGAGCAGCCGTGTGGGTGGAGGGTGAGTCACAGCCCAGCTCTGCCCAGCCTAAGAGGAGAGGGCTTGGAGAATCCAGGTTGTTCCGGCCAGGGGTGACCCAAGGAGGCTACAGGGAGAGGACAAGGGGTGGCAGCTCAGGCTCGGCTTGGGAGCAGACCTTTGATTCATACGAAGCAGAGATAGCACCTAAGAGAAGCTCTGGATAAGGCAGGGCTGGAACAGGTGGGTATCTTTCCAACCAAATTAGTCATTCTGGAGCTCCAGGGCTCAGTCCCTGCTCCACCCTTAAGAATCACTGCAGGTGGCTGGAGGCAGGCAAGTGGGCAATGCTGGAGGCTCTGGGCTCAACCACAGGCACATCTGCTATGGTCCTGCTATGGTCATGACGTCAGCACCTGCACACGAGGGTTGTTTCTGATGAGTCTGGGGAGACCTACAGCTCAAATCTCTCCATCTGTCTCTGTCTCCCTCTCTTTCTGTCCCCCTAGAATATTTTTGGTCAGACAAGGACCTACACCACCCCTGCCCCCCAACACACACATGGTAGGTCTGAGATCTCTGCTCAGAGCCCCAGAACCTAGAGAGATTTAGAGAGTGAGACATAAAGGGAGAGGGAGAGAGAAGTGGAAAGAGAGAGAATTAGATGGAGAGGAAGGGACAGAGGAAGTGTCTTTCTCTAAACTGGGAGAGTAGGAGCCTGGAGATGGGATGCCAAGGCTTGGAGGATCCCACCTGGCCCTTCATCCCTTCTCTCAGGGACTCAGGGTGCTCCGAAGTCTCTAGGCTTTGGGTAGGATGTGTAGATACCCTGCATTTCATTATATCTCCCTAGGGACACTGTGCCCACTGCTCATAGGCTCCCAAGGAGGTGCTGGCCTCACCCCCCTTACCTGGGGGACCAAGAGTTCTTCATTGCCCTCTGTTTCTCCAATCTGGAGACAGGTGGAGAACACTGCACACCCCTACTATGTTCCTAGGCTCTCCACATCTGTCATTTTATACATAATAGTCATTTGATGGAGGAATTAAGACTTGCACCCATTTTTATGTAGAAACTCTACCGAAAGCATCCCAACCATTCCTCCTTGTTCCTTACTCCAGCTTAGCCCAGAGGACTGTACAAGACCCCAGACCCCTTACCTTCTCCCTAAGCTCTAAATTACCCAGAATGGCAGCAACTCGACATGTGAGACTCAACAGCAAGAAATACAGCGGGACCCACATTTCAAGAACCCCGAGTAAGCTGGTCAGGCTCAGCAGCTTTTCCTTGAAGTCCTCCATGAATATCCCCAAACCATAAGCACGCCCAAACAGCGAGAAGCCTCGATCTACGTATTCTTCAATTGCCCAGCGCGGGCTCGAGGATGGGCAGCCCTCACACCCACCTCTTAAAAGGTCCAGGTCTGTCTCTTCTAAGTTCAGGACTTCCCTGCCCCGGCCGCCTTCCGGGGCCAGTAGCTGGTCTGTAGATTCGGTGGGAGAGTCCAGGTTGCCGGTTCCAGCTGCCAGCCCTCTCCGAAGCCGCTCCAGGCTCTCGCCAGTCACCAACGCCGAGAGCACTGCGGGCGAGGGGCGAGGCCGCATCAGAACCCCCTCTCCAGACCCCCGGTCGCCACGCACCAATGCTGGCGCCCGCCTGCCAGGGAGCACGGGCCCCACCAAGTGGCCCGCGCTGGGGTCGCTGCAGCGACCTTCCCCGGTGCCCCCCAGCACAGTGTCCCCCAACCCCCGCCCCTCCCCGACCTCCGGGGGCGTCGGCAGCTCTCTCACCTGAAGCCAGAAAGAGCTTCAGCACCACCGACGGCAGCAGCTTCATGGTCCTAGACCCGGCGGAGGCGGCGAGGCAGCAATCACTTCGGAGGCGGCGGCCACGGGGCGCTGGCACGGGAGCCGGGGCGGGCGGAGCGCAGGAGATTCGGCCGGTTTCGGTGTGCCGGCGGCCTCTGGGTGCAAGCCTAGCAGGGACCTGCGTGGAGCTGGCGGCCGCTGGGCGTCTGTCTGCTCGCTCTGTCCGTCCGCCCGCCCAAGCCCCTGGTGTCTCAGTCAGGCGAGCCACCGGCCGCCCGCAGGTCCCTCAGTCGACTGAAGGCTCCCGGGAGCGCGGCTGGGAATAAGGCTCCGGGAGGCGCCGAAGCTCCGCCCCGCCCCCCTCCCCCCTCCCGCGCTGGGCCGCTCGCCCGGCTCCCGGCGCCGGCAGCGCAGCCCCCGCAGCCCCCAACTCCGCGGGCGCGGCGGGGGGGAAGGGGGCGGGAGTAGGAGGCGGCGCTCACATATTTTGGGACCAGGCCAGGGCCGCCGCTGCCTGACTGTGGGAAGGACTGCTGACCGGCAGGTGGCGGGGACCAGTTCCTACCTTTCCCCAAACGCTTGTCGCGCTGCAGCCTTGTGACTGTCGAGCTGAGCTCTGTCCTTGGACACCCCTCGTTCCTTCCCCCTGTTCCAGGCCTGGTTCCCTCCAGCCATCCCTGCTCCACACCAGGGTTCTGCACCCATGTCACCTTCTGAAGGGTAACACTCGCGTCTTTGCCTAGCAACACAGCAGATAGTAAAAAATTAATTCATGTATCATTTAAAAATTGGACACATGAATGCCAGCAGGTCTCCCGAGCCCAAAGTAACGGGAGTTGCAGTTGCAGGCACTTGGTATCAATCCAGCGAAAGCAAAGGAAGTTAGTATTCTAGCTGCTGGAGTGGCTTCCCTCCACATTTCTCCCAAGGAACACAGTCTCAAAACCATTAAGATTTTTGAACTATGGATTATAATTCCCAGGCTTCTGGGATCAGAGAGACAATGGTTGTGCAACACGCTTCATAGTATTCCGTCTTGGAACACCCTTCTTCCCCAACATCAAAACTGAGACCCTCTCCCATAGGAACCAGCTGGCTAGCCTAGGTTGCTATGTTCAACAAGTGCCAGGAGACTAATGTGTTGCTCCTCCAACCTATGTATTTTTCCAGGGGTCTTCTGCTGTCAATGTTCTGACCCAAAGAAATGACTCTCCCAGTAGATATTTCAGCTCCCAGAGACATGCTGGGGAAGGAGTTGTGTGACACAGGGCTGGGTTGGCATTCAGAGCCCTCAAATTGTGCCAAATAGAGCTGCTTGCCTGATTCAGCCCATGTGTAGAGATAAAAACAGGCCTCCTATTTATACCCAGGCTATCCCCCACTGTCTCTCTCCATCCCCACTTTTGCAGGGGTCTGCCCTCTTGACCTGTTCCTACCAACCCTTCCCAGGCCTAGGTTTCCATAGTACACTGGAATTCCTACATACCTAAGTTGGAATCCAGACCTGGCTGCTTCCTGAACAAACTTGAACAAGATATTTAATTTCATTGAGCCTCAGTTTCCAAATCTCTCAAATGGAAATAACAACAATAATAAGGCCTACTTTGTAGAGAGCTTTTGGAAGATTGAACGAGGAAACTCCTATAAGAAAACAGTTAGTACAATTCCAGGCGTATTATAAGCTCTCAATAAAAGTGACCTATTATCTTATTATCACTAAGCATCCTACCTTGACTGTTCTGTTCCCTTAGAGCCTTTTCATCTCTCCCTTCCCGCCAGGTCTGAGGCTATATGTTGTCGGTTGGACTGGTTTTAGGTGGAAGCTCACCTGTCACCTATTTGGCCAAGTGCCACTGTGGGATTATTCTTTTGGGTGATCACTAGTACCTTAGTGGATGGTCACCACCCAGGCCACACCTTTGTTCTCCCTCAGCAACCGCCTGACCACCTTCTTCCCCCAAACAAAACCACTCTGGGATCAGGGCTCTCCTTGGGGGAGGGTGGAGGGAAACACTTCCTGACACACAGCCAAGTCACCCCTTGCCCCTACCTGCCTCCAGGGTCACACCCTGCTTTCCTGTCCCAGCCTGCCTCTCCCTTTGCACGCTCCGTCTTTCCGCCTTCTCACCTCCACATCAGCCTTAGCCGCCCCATTCATGGGGCAACTCCAAGCTTTCACCACACCTAGGAGCCTCACCCCACCTCGGTTTGTGTGTCAGCTAGGTTTTACGGGAAGGGCCTGGAAAAAGAAGACAAAGACCTGGAATGCCTTTGGGACAGTCATTTCCCCTCTCAGAACCCAGGGTGTCCTCTGATCAAAGAAAATAAATCAAAATTCAGGCTGGGTTCATTCCATTAGCTTATTTATTCCACAAACATGCAATGAATGCTTTCAGGCACAAGGGACACAGCAGTAAACAAGGCAACCAAGAATGTGCTTTCATGATGCTTCCATTCTACAGAAAGGGAAACAGGCAACATATTAAGTAAATTTAAAAAATGAGAAACAGCTATAGTGCAAGTTCAAATGCAATGATACACTATAGGGGGAATGTGTCCCAGTGCTTGGGATGACACTTTAGGTGCAAACTCGTCTCTGAGCAGGTGATGTGTAAGCCGAGGCCTGAATAAAAAGAAGGAAACAGACTTGTGCTCATCCATTGCTAAAGCATTCCAAGCCACATACATAGCGCACCAACTGAAGTGGGAACAAACTTGGAGGATTCAGGGAACAGCAAGAAGGCCAGAAAGCAAGGAGGGTTATAAGATAACCTTGAAGCAAAGGCTAGGGACAGAGAACAGAGGACATTACAGGCTCAAGTAGGTGCTGGAATTTATTTCCTATCACTGTGGGCATCAAATGAGATGGTGATGGGAAAACACAATTATGCAGGATCTTTTTCATGTATCCTAGCGCCCCCCCCCCCACACACACATACGCACCGGCTCTCTGGCTGTCAAGTGCCCGGTATACTCCTAAAGAAGCAGAGTCTAAATGGGCCACTCCAATTTCCCCAACTGTCTATGGACCATAAGCAAACTGAGGCTTGAAGACTCACTGGCCCTGGGCCACCTGTGAGTCACAGAGGGCAAATCCAGAGCAGAAACCCTGGCATCCTGTTCTCCAGCCCTGTCCTGGGTTCCCTAGCCTCTGGAAAGACAGTTTTCATGGGACACTGAGTGTCATTGACTCACTGCCAGGCCATAGGGACCTTGATCTGGGGAGAGAAGCCAGTGGGGAGGAGGTGGGGGAAAGGGGTACTGGTCAGGAGAAGAAAAGGGAGAAAGGGACTTGGAGAGGGAACCCACCGGAATCCCTTCCCTAATGTGGCCAAGATGTCTATGCCAGCAGATTGGTTCGCCCAAAACTGACTCTGCATCAGCTTACCTGAGAATTTATTAAAGATAAAAAGATCCAAGCCCCACCCAGTCCTCCTAATTCAAAACCTCCTGGGGTAGAGCCCAAGCCTTTATACTTTTGTTGGTAATTCTGACATCAACCCGGTTCAGAAGCACTGGTCTACGTAATTAGCTAGAATAACTTATCCAGCATCTGAACAAAAAGTGTGACTCTCTGGGGTAGAGGGGTTTAGGTAATGTCGCTTGTCCTGTGCGCAACACTTCACACACATTATCTTGTACGATCTTTACAATTGCCCTAAGACTAGCTATTCTTCCCCGTTGTAAGGTCTTGCTAAAAACAGGTATGTAGCAGTCCAGGTCACCCAGCTAGTGAGAATCTAAGCCTCGATTTGAATTCCTTCCTTCTTCCTGGGCTTCTGTTCTTGAGCTCAACACTGCCGTTAACAAATGGATGAGACAATGGCTGCCTTCTCCCTCCTTCTACAGTCAGTAACACTGTCAGCTTTGCTGAGGCTCAGGGCTCCATCTGTCCTGCGGAAGGCAATGATAAGAATCAGCCTCGAGGCCGGAGGACTAGGTAAGACAGCAGAGCAGCTAGTGAAATGGGTATACCTTTGTGAGCCAGACAGCCAAGGGTTCAAATTTTGAATATGCTATTTGACTTATTTATTTATTTGTTTGTTTTTGCTTTCTAGCTTAGGACCCATTATTCAACTTCTTTGACATACAGTTTGCTAATCTGCGAGACGGGAATAATAATAGTAGTTTTTACTATAGGGGTTTGTGATGGTTAAATCAGATCATGTGTGTAAAGCAGAATATGATGCCTGGCACATGGTAGGTGCTTCCTTGGTGACAGCTGCTACTAAGAACGAATGCTTCAAAAAAAAAAAAAAAGAAAGAAAAGAAAAAAAAGAAAAAAATGCATGCACGCACACACACACACACACACACGCACACACACACAATCCCCAAATGCTGCTTCCTTCTCTCCTTCCTTCTTCTCTCTCTTTTTTTCTTTCTCTCTTTCTCTCTCCCTCCTTCCCTTCCTTTAAGTGGGAAATTTTATAATGTGACAGCCATCCTCATCTCTCTGCTGAGAGATCATCATGCTTACGATGAGATGGTAGATCTCCAAGGCCTCCTGGAATTTTGAAAACCTTTACCCAAGACAGCAACCCTGGCTCAGAGTTCAGAGAGTAGCAGGTGTCCCCTGGGAGAGGGGATTCCGCCTCTTTCTCCTTCCAGTGTACCAAGAGAAGGAGACCCAAATCTCTGCTGGCTGGGGAAAGGGCACCTCCCTTGAGGGTACTTCTCTCTTAGGGTATGATGAGCCCAGAGTTACCGAAACTTGAAAGCTGAGAGTTACGGAGTCATGGTTCCTTGCCCTAAACTGCTTTCATCCCCACTCTCTATCCCAACTTGAGCCCAGCAATCAAGCAATTTTGGGGTTGCAGCTGGATTTGTACTCAGATCTGCCCTTTGGAACCCCCTTGTACCGCCTATGCTGCCTGGGCTTTCCTGGAGGTCGTGCCAGGTAACATTTCATACGCACCCAGGGATGAGCAGGACCGCCTGTCTGATTGCCCGGGTTTGGGACTCATTTGAATAGGATGAAGACTGGGGTGTGGAGGGGAGTTAGGGGAATCAGGAGTCCCTGTCATTCCCAGATATTGAGGAGGGAATATTTATAATGTGCTTGGCTCAGACCTGGATTCCTAGCCATCCTCCTCCATTTCTGGGCCCATTTCTGTGACTTTGAGGGATTAGCAGGGCTTTACCGCTCTGGCCATCCGCTCGCACAGATGGCTGTCTGTCATCAGGAAGGGGGCGAGTGATTCCTCATTCAGCCACCACACAACCCATCTCCCTCTTTAAGCCTCGGATTCCTCACATGTAAAATAAGAGGCTGAAGCACTATTCTGTGTTCAGGCACTGGCCAGTAAATATCCCTCCCAAACTGTTTGCAGGCCTGCTGTTGTTCAAAGTCCAGCAGAGACAATACCATGACAACCAGCAGTGCCTGATCTATGAGGCATGATAACCTTTCTCTCCGTGCCTCTTCGTCTCTCAGTGTGGAGAATAACAATCTACTTAAGGGGTTCTTGTGGCTAAGGAGATGGCACCTGTGAAAGCTCTTGGCAAAATGGAGAGTCCTACATAAATAGGTCAGTACTATTGTTACTAACTTCTCTAGGGCTCAACCTTGGAATGAGGTCACATCAAATCCTGTACCAGGAATGTGTAAGTTCGGGTTCTCTTAGAAATGCAATCACAAAGCTGCAATTTAAAAATTTAACCTTATCCATCTGCTTTTTTTTAATAACAGAGCATTGATCCAGGACAATGATTCACAAAGTAAGAGATGCTGCCCCCTAGGGGTCATTATGGGAATCTGTGGGGAGTTTTTGGTTGTCCAAAAACTAGGGAGTCTTCAGGCATTTGGAGGAAAAGATGTCAGGCTCACACATTTAAAAATTGCTCCCCCAATTGTCCCATATTCCACATACTTTTGAGTGTCTTTCCAGACATTCATATGGGTGATAAGCTTGATTATAATCACTTGAGCCTAGAATCATCTCTAATTACCATAAAAATATAGAAAGAGTTTTTTTAACACTGACTTTCCCAAGAATTAAATTAGCATGAACTGTTCATTTTGGTGGTATCTGAGTTCTTAAACAACACACTTGTGTCAGTTCTTAAACAACACACTTGTTGAGTTCTTAAACAACACACTTGTAGGTGTCACATTCAAAGTAAGTCTGTGTAGGTGCAAGCAATGGGCTTCTTCATTGAGATTTCTAGAGTCATTCTTGAGCAAGCATTTGCATATTCAAATAATGTTATTTTATTTAAGACAAAAATTTTTTAATTTAAGTAATCTTTGCAACCAGTGTGGCATCTGAATTCATGATGCCAAGATCAAGAGTCACGTGCCCTACCAACTGAGAAAGCCAGGTGCCCCTATTTTTTTTTTTAAGATTCATTTGTTTAAGAGAGAGAGAGTTAGAGGGAGAGAGAGAGCAGGGGAGGGGCAGAGAGAAAGAGAGAATCTGAAGCAGGCTCCATGCCCAGAGCAGAGCCATGTCCACACAGAGCTTGATCTCATGACCCTGAGAACTTGACCTGAGCCAAAACTAAGAACCTGATGCCTAATTGACTGCATGACTCAGGCACCCCAAGGTGCCTCTATTTTATTTTTAATCACTTTCTCTTTTCTATTAATTAGGGCATTGACTTTCTTTAAAGAGTAAATGTGCAATTATGGTGATTATTTTACAATATATACAAATATTAAATCATTATGCTGTATACCTGAAACTAGTATTATAATGTTATATGTTAATTATACCTCAATTTAAAAAAGTGAAATTAGGAGTGCCTGGCTAGCTCAGTTGGTAGACCATGCGACTCTTGATCTGAGGGTCATGTGTTCAAGTCCCACATTGGGTGTGAAGCCTGCTTAAAAAAAAAAAGAAGGCAAGAATAAAGTATATAGAATTGTATCTCTATAATTACTTTATTTTTTTAAATTCACATTTTTGAAAGTTTATTTATTTAAGTAATCTCTGCATCCAACTGGGGCTTGAACTCATGACCCTGTGATTAGGAGTCTCATGCTCTTCTGACTGAGCCAGTGAGGTACTCCTCTCTATAATTATTTTAAAATGCTTTCGAAACCTATGTATGGGGGAAAGAAACTGGAAAAAAATACATCAAAATATTAACATGGATGGATTCCTACAAAAGAGAAGAAAGTAAATGTACAGATAGGCTATTCTCTGTGAACTTTATTTCAGGATAGTAAAGGAATATTAACATATTTGCTATAAAAAGGAAATATTTATTCTGACATGGCTGAGGACCACTAACACCAGAAAAATTCACATGAGAACCCTTTCTGTATCCTTCATAAAAGTGCTATTCTAGATACTATTATATATAAGGTCCCTGGCCAGTGCCTGAATAAGGTATAACAAATTCCTCTTATAGTTAATTCAGTGTTAGAAAGTTTGGTTCTTATAACTATCTAGTACAGCTACCTCCTTTTATTAGATAATGACAAAATGTCAAATTCATAGGTTCTCTTTTTGCCTCCACTGTCAGTAAGATCACAATTAAGTATTGATGCTTGGAGCACCTGGGTGGCTCAGTCGGTTAAGCATCTGCCTTCAGCTCAGGTCATGATCTCCTGGGATCGAGCCCTACATCAGGCTCCCTGCTCTGCGGAGAGCCTGCTCCTCCCTCTCCCTCTGCTGCTCTTCCTGCCTGTACTCACTCACTCTCTCTGTCAAATAAATAAAAATCTTTAAAAAAATAAAAGTTCTGATGCTCAGTTGCAATGATTATCCCTAGTCCAGAATTTTGAGGAAAATTGTTTCTTTCTTCTCCACTTTGGTTTCATTACGAGTGCTCATTTTTTAAATATTTACTTGTATCCATGTCTTTTATTGTCTTTACATCTCTTCTGGAAGTAAACGGAGCATACATAATTAATGTGAAACTCAGAAATCACATCCCTGTAGCTGCCTTGCCAACATTTCCTGAATGTGGAAGGCTCAGTGGCAGGGGCATGGAAAGCCTGAGGCGGAGAAGTTTGTGCCATGTGCTGGTGGTTTTGTGCTGCAGACTCAGGTTCTCTGATACCTCTTCCTTCTCCTCTTCAAATGCCCTGACCCCTGTACTCCAGAAGGAGTGTGGGCGTTGTGAGGAGTAGAAGCGGGCTCCAACACTCAGGGCCCACTCCAAATGTTTCCTGAATCTTGGTGGTCTGGGGTCAAGGTGAATGTCAGGGAAGGGTATTCCAGCTCCAGGGTCAGAGAAGCCCAGGCCCCGAAAGTGGAGAGACCCTCCCTCCACATGCATTCCACTAGCATCTTGTTTGAACCCCTCAGAGCAGAGGCATTGAAGCTCAGGTTCAGGGATGCAAAGGACCCCTTTCTGAACCCTGGGTCCACTAGCCACTAGCTATGACTTTGGCCAAGGTACCAAGGTACCTCTGAGGCTCAGTTTCCTCATTCAGAAATGGGGTTGATACCTACCTCCAAGGGCTGTCATGAAGACTCATGGAGATGACCACGAGGTGCTAGGGCAGTGCTTGGAACCTAGCAAGCACTCAGAAGCCAACAGGTGCTGCTCGTCCCCCGGGATCCATGTTCATCTTGCGTCAGTCTGCCGTCCACAGCTGGGAGCAAGTGTGTCTGTTAAATTGCAGCTCCTTGCTCATAAGCTCAGCAGCTGTGGCAAACTGCTTCACCTTTCTGAATCTCAGTGGTTTTTTGTTTTGTTTTGTTTTAAAGATTTTATTTATTTATTTGACAGAAAGGGAGAGAGATCACAAGTAGGCAGAGAGGAAGGTGGGGGGCGGGGAACAGGCTTCCTGCTGAGCAGAGCCCGATGCAGGGCTCCATCCTAGGACCCTGAGATCCTGAACTGAGCTGAAGGCAGAGGCTTACCCCACTGAGCCACGGAGGCGCCCCCCGAGTCTCAGTGTTTTTATAATAAAGTGGGAATAATGAAATGTGCTTCATATTTGTGGTGTGAGTAAAATGATTACTAGTGAGTAAAATGATTAATTTATTTTATGAAAAGGAGTTATGCAATTATATTTTGTTATTTTTACTCTTATGGGCATTTTCTATTTTTTTCTACAACGACTATGAATTTAAAAAAACAAATATGAATGATTTATGTATTTCAAGCCACTTTTAAAGCCATGATTTTTCTTTTTTTATTAAAAAAAATTTTTTTTAAGATTTTATTTATTCATTTGACAGAGATCACAAGTAGGCAGAGAGATGGCAGAGAGAGAGGAGGAGAGAAAGGAGGAGCAGGCTCCCTGCTGAGCAGAGAGCCTGATGCGGGGCTCGATCCCAGCACCCTGGATCATGACCTGAGCCGAAGGCAGAGGCTTTAACCCACTGAGCCACCCAGGCGCCCCATAAAGCCATGATTTTTCTTAAAAAATACTGGGGCACCTGGGTGGCTGAATCGGTTAAGGGTTGGACTCTTGGTTTTGGCTTAGGTCATAATCTTAGAGTCTTTGGATCCAGCCCTGTGTTGGGCTCCCTGCTGAGTACGGGCTCTGTTTGAGATTCTCTCTCTCTCTCTCCTTCTCCTCCTCTTCTCTCTCTCTGTCTCAAATGAATAAATACACAAAAGTCTTTTTAAAAAATTAAAACATACTTAAATTTATTGAAAGCTCATTACATTTTAGGCATTGCTCCGAGCACTCTATATACATTATCTCATTTCATTCTCATAACAGTCCTCTGAGGAAGATAGCATTTTCACCCCCAGTTTATTGATGAGAAAAACCAATGCTTAAGGAAGTTGAGCAACTTGCCCAGCTTGGATGTGATACACTGTTGTAAAACTGTACACACATGGGCACATACGTAGGCAAATGAGCGCATGCAGAAATAAAGGAAATCTGAATCAGGGCTGTAGCCTAGCTAACAGTATTGTGCCTCTGTCTTTTTCCTGGTTTTGACATTGTGCTATCTTTATGTAACATGTTACCATTGGGGGAAGGTGGATGAAAGGTGCTAGCTGAAGATCTCTTTGTATCTTTTTTGCAACTTCATTTCTTCTTCTATAATTAGACTCTCATAAATGGTCAAAAAATTAAAGAGTTTTTTAAGAAGTAAAAGTTTTGTTTTTAAAGGCTTATTTATTTGAGGTGGGGGAGGGGCAGAAGGAGAGGGAGAGGGTTTTTTTTTTTTTTTTTAAGATTTTATTTCTGTATTTGAGAGAGAGCATGAGTGAGAGAAGAGTGAGTGGCAGTAGGAGGTGGGAAGGGCAGAGGGAGAAGGAGAAGCAGGTTTCCTGCATGTGGGGTTTGAGCCCAGGACCCTGGTAACATGACCTGAGCCCAAGGCAGATGTTTAACATTCTGAGCCACCCAGGTACCCCAACAAAGAGAGAGTCTTAAACAGAGTGCACACTAAGCTCAGAGCCTGACGTGGGGCTCTATCTCGTGACCCCAACATCTCCACCTGAGCCAGTCTCTTAACCAACTGCACCAGCCAGGAACCCCAAGAAGTAAAAGGTTTTTTCTTTTTTTAAGTTGTTGCAAGAATTATGTGAGATAATGTGCCCAGGACAGGGCTGGATATAATTGACATATCAATATATATTTTCTTTCTTTCCTACCCTACGAGTGACTGTTTTCCATTGTCTAGTAATAATAGCCTCCATATTATGTATACTATGTGGTAGGCTTAATTTACATCCATTGTTTCATTTAATAAAGCCTCTGGTGGGTACTTTTATTATTCTCCTTTTGCAGATAAGAAAACTCAGGTTCCGCAAAAACTAATCTCTTCTCCACTTGCTGGGAAGTGACCAAGCCTGGATTTATACCAAGGTAGTCTGTTCATGACGCCACTCCCTTCTACTCCGGGTTGAGCTCAGAGTATTGCGTGAAAGTATGCTTTGAACCTTGGAAATCATCTACCCCAACTGTTTTAATTTATACAAAGAAAACAGGCCCAGAAAGGGGGAAGGACTTTAGTAAGAACGCCTAATAAATCTGTGACTGAGCCAGGATGAGAACCCAGTTTTTAGATTCCTGGGTCAGAGTATTTTCCAGGGCCAACACCCAAGGCTACTCGCCCATTTGGCCTACCTTCACTGAGCCCTGCCTGGGAGATAGCTGGTGCCCACAGACAAAGCTGCAAGTTCTCACTCACATCCCTCACCAACCTGCACAGCTCACGGCACTTAGGACCCAAGAGGCAGCAGTGGACCCTGGGGACAGGGGAGGCATGGTGGCCCTCTACTGCAGGCATTCTTGGGGGGCCAAGTAGTTGGGACCACAGAGAAGGCAAGGTAAGACCCTCTGAACTTTGGCAGTGGGGGTGGGAAGGGAGGCTCTATGTGTGAGGGGGTTACTCATGCCAAGTGCCTGTTCCTGTCTCCCTCAGGCTTTCTTGAGTCACTTGCCCTGAGGTTGGGGCACATTCTTGAAGTGGGTGATCACAGGGATTCCAGGCCCTCCTAGGTCCTAGGCCAGTTTCTATTCCTCCTGGAGCTGAAACCAACTCCCCCCGCCCCCACCTGAGACTCAGCACCTCCTCTCCAAGTGGCAAAATAGTGACTCACTACTTTCATTTCTATCCTGGGACCTCCTTGGACTAGGGCAAATCGCTCGGCTCCAAGTCCACACCTGGGGTTGGAGGGGAGAATCAGCCCAAGTCCCATTTCCCAGGAGGGAGGGGGTCCCATGTATCCAGTGAAGGGTTTGACCCACACTCAAAGAGCATGATTATCCCTCTCTCTCCATCCTTGTTGCGCCCGCCCCCCATTCCATCCCACTGGGCCAATCCAGGGAAAGTTGGAGGATTAAAGACACCACCCCCTCAGCCCTGCTCTCTCGTCATCTCTGCGCCCTGGTGGGTCCACTGGGGAAAAGGGCTGATGAGTGGACCAAGCGATCCTGTCCGCGGGGAGCAGCGCCCTCGTGTGACCTCCAGGAGAAGCGCATTTATTTTCCAGCCCCTCCCTTTCTATGAGCTCATTTAGCAAATATTTATAGAGTGCCACTAGGTGCGCTAGGGGCAGTTGTTGAAGAAGATAGGTAAAATACCTGCTCACTGAAACAGTACATTCGTGTGTGTGTGTGTGTGTGTGTGTGTGTGTGTGTGTGTGTGTGTGTGTGGTGGGGCAGGCAATAAACGGCAAATAAATGAGGCAGATTGTAGTAGTGATAACTGCTGGGACGAAAATAAAACCGAGAACAGTGTTGGAGACACAGGGCTGGGTGGAAAAAACAAGGTCTCCTTGAGTAGGTAATGTCAAAGATGACACTTAAGTTACTGGGACCCAGTCATGTGACGATCTGGGGCAAAAGCTTTCCTTGCAGAGAGAAGAGCTACAGCGAAGACCCCCAGGCAGCTACATGCTTTGCATGACAAAGACCAATGCAGCAGGAAAGGAGTGGGCAAGGGACAGTTGTAGGAGATGTGGACATAGGGATAGGGCCAGACTGTAGATCTTACACGTTATGACAGAGTTTGACTTTTCTTCTAGGAGTAATGGGAATGTCTTGGATGAGTTCTGAGAAGAGGAATGTAGCTTGATTACCTTTTAAAAGGATCTCTATGGCTGCTATGCGGATTAAGAACTTTGGGCAAGGAAGGAAGAGTGGAAGCAGGGAGATGATTCCAAGAGATTAGAAAGCTATTGAAATAATTCAGGTGAGACAGGATGGAGGCTTGGAACAGAGTGGAAGTGTGGGAGGCGGGGGACATGTGGTTGGATGCTGGGTTTACTTTGAAGGTAGAGCCAACAGGACTTGCTAATAGACCACATTCTCCTTTGTTCTTTGGGCTCCAGGAACTCCTTCATACACACACCCTTGCTGGCGCCTCTGTCCTTACTCCCAGGCTGAGTTAGAAGGGCAGACCCCAGGGACACTGCTAAATTGGAAAGTTTCCAGGTGTGGTCAGACAAAGGAATTTAAGCCTCAGGCACTGTGTTCTCCTTGCAATGCCACCTTAGCCCATTTAATGGGCTGGGACTCTGCCTGGTGTCTCCCTTATAGTAGCCTGGCTTCTCTAAGAGAAGCCAGTTACTTATAACTGTTACTTCTGTAACAGACCTAGTTACTTATTAGGTCTCTGTTTATCCAAATGGGTGCCTTTAGGGTGTATTGGTGACACTCAAAACAGTCCTGAGGGTTGGTGTTTGTATTTGATACAGAGTAGGGGGCTGGATAATCTGAGGGTCCCTGTCCTCAGACCTGGGCCAGTGACTTACTCCTGTTAATTTACACAAAACACAGTGCAGTCCAACCTGATCCCATAGAAAACACACACAACATTTTGGCCCCAGGCTGGGTATTTCAGAAGAGCTTGGGAAAGATCAGGTTAGCCTTACAAATGCTCACAGGCAGCCAGGGCTGGGGAGAGCAAGTGGGAAAGGGAATGATCCGGTTGGGTCTGGAGTCAGCAGGCCTTGCTCTGTTTGCGTTGTGCTGCTCGTGTGTGTGTGTGTGTGTGTGTGTGTGTGTGTGTGTGTGTGTGTGTGCATTATAAATGCAGCCAGCTGGAGGGCCTCTGGATTCAAAACCTAGAACTGCACTGCTACGTAAGAGTCTGTGCAGGCCTCTCCAAGATGAAGCTATCAGGCCAGGAGGAGTTTGAGGTCTCCAGTGCTTGTGAAAATGTGCCCACAGGAGAGCTGGACAATGGCACTGGCTCTGGCCCCAGCCCCAACAACCCCTCAGACACAGACAGAGGGGAGCTGGGGGTACCCAAGGACCCTCTGCTCTTCATTCAGCTGAATGAGCTTCTGGGCTGGCCCCAGGCCCTGGAGTGGAGAGAGACGGGCAGGTGAGTCGGACCCAGGGCAGTTTTATGGGTTCTTTCCCTTTCCCCAGCTGGGGACTCCTCCATGACCCGTAGCTCCTCCTGTGTGAGGAGGTGCTCTAACCCCCAATCAGGAGTTCCTCTCTGTGAGTTCAGGCCCTCACCCTCCATGATGCTTGGCTTTCAATGCAGTGTACTTGTGAGTTCCCCAAGACCCCAGGTGAGGGGTGAATACCCAGGAGGAGACATATTTTGCACCACTGGGCCCAGGACTCCCCCATGGCCCTACCTTCCCTGCCTCTCCTGTGTGCTCCCTCCTGCACCTGGGAGAGATGACCCCGATAACAGTCCACTCCTCTCCACTGCAGGTGGGTGCTGTTTGAGGAGAAGCTGGAGGTGGGTGCGGGCCGGTGGAGTGTTCCTCACGTGCCCACACTGGCACTGCCCAGCCTTCGGAAGCTCCGCAGCCTACTGGCCGAGGGCCTTGTGCTGCTGGACTGTCCAGCTCAGAGCTTCCTGGAGCTCGTGGGTACGTGGGGAGCCTTTGCAGGGAGGGCCTGGGCAACTATGCCATTTCGCCAGGACTACCCCTGCAAATCTTACAACTTTCCAGAGCTCACCCCACCCCACCCTAGGGATTAGCCTTCTCTGTCACTGTGGGGGGTAGAGGGTGGGGACGGAAGAATAGAGTAGAGGAGCAAGTTCCCCGAATGGAAAGGGACCTGGGCAGAGGGGAAAGGGGAAGAGTTTTGGGGCAGGGAGCTGTCAGGAAAGGGTTGGAGCTCCTCCTCTGTTCTTCAGAACAGGTGACCAGAGTGGACTCGCTGAGCCCAGAGCTGAGAGGGCAGCTGCAGGCCTTGCTGCTGCAGAGACCCCAGCACCTCATCCAGCCCACAGGCACCAGGCCCTGCCAGGGTGAGAGGCCTGTCTTTGGGCCCAGCAGCAAAAGCCCTAATCCCCCTGCCCCCTTCCTGGACCAAGACCAGCCTAGCCTTGGCTTATACCTCAACTCGGGTCTCATGGGTGAGAAGAAGTGGAGGTAATGGTAAGGGGAGGGAGAATGGAGGGGCCAGAGTTCTGGGAAGGAATGTTGTTGGTAGGCATTGTGCCAGGAGTTTTATGTGTAGTATCTCATTTAATCTTCACAGCCATCATGTGAGGTAGTACCGTAATTAGCCCCATTTTAGTGATAAGAAAGCTGAGGCTCAGAGAAGGGAAGCTCCAGTTTTCATCGTTTGTCAGAGGTAAAGCTTGTCAGGAAGCCCAGCTGCCTCCACCTCCAAAGCCCGTGCTCTTAGTCACTGCCTAATCCTGTTTTGAAGGGTCTGCCCATCCAAGAGAGGCTTCTCACAGTGAGGAAGCCCCACTGAAGGAACAGGTTTGTGGCCCTTCCTTGGGCAGGGCTGGGAGAGGGGTCAGGGATGAACAGAAGTTCACCCTCCACTTGCCTCATTATCAATCAATATTTTGCCAACACCCACCTCCCCAAATGAGCTCTTGTCCTTCGTGTCTCCTTGAACCCCCAACCAGCATCAGAACCCCCTGAGACGGAAGCTGCCTCCAGGGGCTGAGGCTGGGGCTGTGCTGGTAGGGGAGTTGGGCTTCCTGGTGCAGCCCCTGGGGGCCTTTGTGCGACTGCAGGATCCGGTGGTGCTGGGACCCCTCACTGAGGTTCCCCTCCCCAGCAGGTAAGGCTGATGAGAGTGGAAGGTTCTGGAGACCAGAAAAGCGATCTTTACTGGGGAGGGGATTGGGAGGTCTCTGGTCCAGTTCTTTTGGGGGTGAGTGCAAGATGGTGCTCGGGGGTCTGTGGAGGGGGTAGTGGTCAGGGCTGCAAAGTAGGTGTGCACATGAGTGTACATATGGGGGCTGGTATCAAGGGCAGAGATCAGGGCTGCCATATGGGATAGCTGCCTCTGATATTTCTGGGGCCCGGTTCCTTCTTCAGATTTTTCTGCCTCTTCCTTGGTCCTTCTACACTGGGAAAGGGCTACCATGAGATGGGCCGAGCAATGGCCGTCCTCCTCAGTGACCCGGTGAGCTGGGCAGGTGTGTGTGTGTATGTGTGTGTGCACGTGCCCACACAGACTTGTGTCAGTGAGTGTGCACGTGTGAACTCTAGATGTGTGACAGAATACAGCAGTGAGGCAGAGTATGGCCTTGTGTCCATAAGAATGAGGACTGAAGTTTCCTTTGCTACCGCTGGTGTCCCCTTATCTAGCACAGTGCTGGCACACAGTAGGCAGCCAACAGGTACTGACACTGGCATGCATGTGTCAATGAATGAATGCTTGAGACGTGTCCGCCTATCTGACTTGGGTCTAGCTTAGAGACTGTGAAAATGCACGTAAGGGTCCAGATCTCCATTTAGGGCCCCTCTGTGCCCCTATCCCTAGCAATTCCAGTGGTCAGTTCGTCGGGCCAGCAACCTTCACGACCTTCTGGCAGCCTTGGATGCCTTCTTAGAGGAGGTGACAGTGCTCCCTCCAGGTCGGTGGGACCCGACAGCCCGGATTGCCCCACCTAAATGTCTGCCTTCCCAGCACAAAAGGTATGGGGGTGGGGGGACTTCCCACTGTGGAGGAGGGTAGGGGATTCCAGGAAAGGGGTAGAAAGTCATCTTTGGATTCCAAGCCTGCTGGCAGAGACACGAGCAGCCACCAGGGGGCAGGGTGCCCAGTCATGCCGGGTTGGAGATCCTCAGGCAACCTGAGTTCCCATTCTTTCCAGGATCCTCTCACAACTGAGGGAGGTCCAGGGCCCCTCTGCCCGGCATGGGGCCCTGGCTGAGGACAGGTATGACCACGGGCTACAGCTGCGCAGCCCAGAGTTACAGCGGACAGGCAGGTGAGGTGAGCTGGGGTGAAAGCAAGGGTAAGCGTCCTGGGAGGGGTCAGGGGTCACAGGGGCCTAGAGGCATATGCTCACTGTGGAGGGGCTCACCCAATCCCAGGAAAAGTAGCAGGGATGGGGCATGGGATGGGGCCACCCGGGTCACTGACAAACCATGGGTGGGAGGCTGTTTGGGGGCCTTATCCAGGATGTGCGCCGGAAGGCCTCATGGTACCCCAGCGACTTCTTGGACGCGCTACATCCCCAGTGCTTCTCGGCCGTGCTCTACATTTACTTGGCCACTGTCACTAATGCCATCACTTTTGGGGGACTGCTGGGGGAAGCCACCAGTGGTGCTCAGGTGAGTGGGGAGGCGTGAGGGGGCAGGCATAAGTTGTGATATTCTGCCGGCCATGCCCTTTAACCCTCCCTGGGACGATGGGTGGGCTTCCCTGGAAACTTGGGTTGCTGTGCTGAGGACTCCAGTGTTCTGGGCAGACAGGGCTCCCTGCTGGCTTCTAGGGGGTGCTGGAAAGTTTCCTGGGCACTGCAGTGGCTGGAGCTGCCTTTTGCCTGATGGCTGGCCAGCCCCTCACCATCCTCAGCAGCACGGGGCCAGTGCTGGTCTTCGAGCGCCTGCTCTTCTCCTTCAGTAGGTAGGAGAATACCCCAACTGTCACCAGACCCCCACAAGCCACACTCTCAGCCTGGTCCTGGCTGGGTCAGTAGGGGAGGGTGGAAACTGTCTGGCTCCAGGGGCACTTAACCTGGGTTAAGTGGAGAGCAGAGCAGCTCTGCCAATTCCTGTCTGTGTTACCCCTCCCGCCCCCACCAGAGATTACAACCTGGACTACCTACCTTTCCGCCTGTGGGTGGGCATCTGGGTGGCCACATTTTGCCTGGCACTGGTGGCCACAGAGGCCAGCGTGCTGGTACGCTACTTTACCCGCTTCACCGAAGAAGGCTTCTGTGCCCTCATCAGCCTCATCTTCATCTACGATGCTGTGGGCAAAATGCTGAGCTTGACCAGTGCCTATCCCATCCAGAGCCCTGGGTATCCTGCCTATGGCTGCTTTTGCCAGTACGCAGACGTGGGAGGTGGGTGAGGGAAACAGGGAGTTTGGCAAGATGGGGAAGGATGCAGGAGGGGGAGGGGTTGTCCTCTTGCTGTCCCTTCTTGTTAAGTTCAGCTGACTCCTAAATACTTACCCAAAAACCAGCAGCACTTTTCCCCACTCTGGTTTTGAATCAATTGAGAAGTAACAGAGCAGGCCCAATATTGTTTTTTCTTTCTGACAATGCCAATTGAAGAACATGCTTACATCTATGGAGGAATGGGCTTCCCAACAATGAAACCAATATTAGATAGGTTTACGCACTCAGTCATGGCTGCACTGGACAGGGACTGTCTTGCCCCAAAGGAGCAGAGCTAAATGCATGCACAGTGCAGGCAGCTTATTCCCAAGAGTGAGGAGAGGAGGGAACAGAGAGAGACATGCCCGGCTTCTTCTCTCAAACTCACAAGTCAAACAAATTGCTGCTCTTTCCCCAGTCTGAGTGACCAACTCAGGGGGAGAGTGGCCCAGCATATTACTCTGGCACAAATACCTCCATGTGGAAGGAAACAGCAGGGATGGAGACAAGATGTCCTCTCAAGTGTGCCAGACTCTGCTGGGCATGAACAAAACCAGTTCTTGTCCTGGTAGAAACCCATAGATGGTGGACTCATCCATTAAGCAAACATTTGCTAGGCGTCTTCTATGGCCAGTCCTGTGCTGGGTACCAGGGATACAGATAGGTGAGGAATTTGAAAGGACCAGGCAATGTTCTGAGGAGCACAGACTTGGTAGCGATTGGAGTCAGCAGACAGATGAGTCAGAACTAAGAACTTTCTGGTTCATTTGGCCCATGAGATTAGACTTCTGAGGGGTTGGAGAAGGTTCTCAGGGGAGGGGCATATACCCAAATTGTTCTCTGCTTCCCAGGAAATGAGTCTCAGTGGATGAGGACAGAGCCAAAAGACAGAGATGACATCTCAAGTCTGGTGAGGGCCTGTTCCGGGGATGGGGGGGTGCCCAGGAGAGAAAGGCTGGGAGCCAAAAAAGTCAGTGGTTCCTGGCTTTACCCACCCCACAGGCTAGGCAAACCTCAAAGGTCATAGAGGCCCAGACCTGTGCTTTGGCTGGAGACCTCTTATCCTGGGCCCCTGCTGTCTGAGTGAGTGTCTATTTTTATCCCATTACCTATAACCTCATCCCTGACAACACCCTCCATACAGGACCTAGGCTTGGTCAATGCCTCCTTGCTGCCCCCACCTGAGTGTGCCCGGCGGGGAGGCCACCCTCGTGGCCCCAGCTGTCATGCAGTCCCAGACATCGCCTTCTTCTCCCTCCTCCTCTTTCTTACCTCCTTCCTCTTGGCCATGGCCCTCAAGCATGTAAAGACAAGCCGCTTCTTCCCCTCTGTGGTGAGTGTTACCTCTCTTTTTGTGGGTCTTGTATGTGCATGGGAAAGGGTGAAGAAGGAAGGGGGTGGCGGGCCTGAATCTGACTGAGTATTCACTGTGTGGCCAGGTGCGCAAAGTGCTCGGTGACTTCTCCTCAGTCCTGGCCATGCTGCTGGGCTGTGGCCTTGATTCCTTCCTGGGTCTGGCCACACCAAAGCTCACGGTGCCCAGTGAGTTCAAGGTGAGAGCTGGGAGTATAAGACAGAGGGGAGAGCAAGGCCAGCAGACAGGACCTTGGAGGAGGAAATGCATAGATCCCATGCTTCTCTTCCTCTGAGCTTCCATTTCCTTGCTTATAAAATAGAAAGGGTAATGATAATGACCTCACAGAGTTGCTGTGAGGATTAATGAGGCACTGCTGCTGACACAGTGGGACAGAATACATGGCAGCTATTATTATAAATTAAGGGTTAAGAGGGTGGGTTCTCCTCAGCCAGTCCTGGGTTTGAGATCCTGTTCTGCCACTTCCTAGCTGTACAACCTTAGGCAAATTAACTCACATCTCTCATCAATGAGCCTCAATTTATGCATCTATAAAATGGAAATAATAAATAACAATGGCTCCTACTCTATAAGTTGTCTTGAGCTTCACAGAAGATGAATGTAAAGCATTTTACCACAGTGCAGGGACGGGCACATACCAAGACCTTAATAAATGTTACTTATTGTTGTCATAGGTTGGCCCTACCCACTCCACTACTCCCCACTCTCTTCTTTGCCCCCCCCACCCCAACTCCTAGCTGCTGGCTCTGATCTGGTAAAGCTGGAGCTCCCTATCAAGGGCACAGGACAATGCATAGGACAAGGCTTAGCACTGACTTAGCACTTAGACTTTGCCTGTGCATTTGGAGACCTCCTCTCCAGGTTCCCCCAGGATAGGAGAACAGGGGGACTCCACCTGGGGTAGCCTCAGGGGCTCAGAATCTGAGCTGGCAACTGGGGTCCCCTCCCCCACAGAGACGCTTATAATCAGAGCAGACGCAGACACACCCAGCCCTGCCCCTGCCCCAGATCAAGGCAGGTCTGAGCCTGAGTCGCTCCACCCTGGTTGGGGGGCGGGGATAGTTCCTAGGGAGGAGGGTGCTGTACATCAAGTAGTGTGGGCAGGTCTCACCCTCCATCTCCTCCTCTTGCAGGGCAGGAGGGACCCTGAGAACCCAAGTGCAGAGCCCCTGGCTCCAGCCCAACACTTAGGGTGGTCCCGCTCCTGCTGCCCTCTTTTAAGACACTGGGAGGCTTTGAACCAGCTGTGCATACACATACTGCTCCTACCTACCATCTTGGTCTTAGAATGGGGGCTAATGGAAGAATGCCAATGCTGGGGTGTAGAGATGAGGTACTCTTGGGAGACCCTCTCTAACTTGTCTGTGGAACACCCTCTCCCAGCCCACACTCCCCGGGCGTGGCTGGCTGGTATCACCTTTTGGAACCAACCCCTGGTGGCTGAGTGTGGCAGCAGCCTTACCCGCCCTGCTGCTGTCTATCCTCATCTTCATGGACCAGCAAATCACAGCGGTCATCCTTAACCGTGCTGAATATAAGCTGCGGGTAAGGCCTGCCGGGTGATACCCTAGGCCCCTAGCCCAAGGGACAGAAACTCCAGGATGGGGTCCAGGACCTCCCTCTCCCACTCCAGAGGGCAGAGAGCCCAGGTCTGGTTTAGTTTCTCCCTCAATGCTCTACCACTACGTGCAGAAGGGCGCTGGCTTCCACCTGGATCTCTTCTGTGTGGCTGTGCTGATGGTGCTCACGTCAGCGCTGGGACTCCCCTGGTATGTGTCGGCCACGGTCATCTCCCTGGCCCACATGGACAGTCTTCGGAGAGAAAGCAGAGCCTGTGGCCTGGGGGAGCCCCGCAGCTTCCTGGGTATCAGGTGAGGCCAGTATTCAGGAGGCGAGAGTGAGAGGTGGTCAGTAAGGTGGTAACGGTGGGAAATGAAGCAGTTATCCGGACAGCTTAAATTCGAAGCTGGTGACTCCAGAGGGCTCTCACTGCTCGTGAACACTGCAGTGGGGTGAATAGAGGGGTTCTGGGCTGAGACAGGTGTGTCAGATCTTCCCCCATTCTCCTTTGGCCATGGGATAGGAAGGGCCCTTGAGAGGATCCTCGGGGCTGTGAAGGCAGAGGCAGCCAGGGCTGGGTGAGGCCCGCTAATTTCCCCTCCCCTCAGCATTGGAGTACCTCATTAATGTTAAAGAGTTACCATCACAAAAACAATTTGTAACTACTGGAAACACAATGTGTGGAAAGTATGCAAAAATAACTTTGAAACCAGGAAAGAAAAGTTTTTATGGCCTGTAAAAACTGCTAACTTCCAATCAAAATCAAAATAAAAAACCTATGAGCTTGAGTGGATGGAGAGGCCTGGGACACCCGAACTGAAGTGCCCTGCTTGTTCCTCTCCACCAGTTTTGCACACCGTGCCTAGGTGACTGCCCGGGTGGGGGTGGGGGTGGGGTCCCTCCACTTCCCTCCTGCCAGTGCCTCTAGTAGTGTCTGGTCCATGTCTCCGGGCCTGGCACCTTGGGGGCTCCCCCAGACCCCAGCTAACCCTTCCCTCTCCACACAGGGAGCAGAGGCTGACAGGCCTGGTGGTGTTCATCCTCACAGGAACTTCAATCTTCCTGGCACCTGTACTCAAGGTACCTTTGTTAGGCTGGTGTTGAGGGTTGGGGGGGCGGTGCAGGCAGGGCAGCACTAATAATAAATAAAGCAAGAACCGACACTGGCTAAATACTTACGGGGCACCAGGCACTGCGTTGTTTTCTCCACAGTGGGCCTCATCTGGTCCTCACATGGATCCTGAGAGGCATCCGTACTTCACAAATGAGGAAGCTGAAGGTTGAAGAGGTTAAGTAGCTTACAAAAGATCACCAAGGGAGCTAGTTTCTCAGGTCCATCCAAGAACTCAACTTCTTACCCAGGGGCTTTCTACCCAGTGGAGCAGGGTGTGGGCATGCCTCCATCCTCTGTGGCCCAAGTGGGATGGTACCCTGGCTCCAGCCTCCCAACTGACCTTAAACGGAGAGTGTGATCACAACCCAGAAAAACCTTGAGGCAAAACCCCTTCCCTTCTCTCCTACCAGGTATTTGTAGAATACCTGCCATGTGCAAGGCTCTGCTAGACACTTGGGAGAAGGGGGCAGTGCACAGGAAGGGGCAGGAGTATTGAAAAAAGATAATGGAGCCAAGCCCCTATTAGCAACATACACACGTGAACGAAAATTAAGTAACATGTAATCACAGAACTGTTCAACAAGCCAAGGCAGCAAAGCAATCGAGGGCATGGAGAATGGCATACAAGAGTCATTAGTGAGGAGAGGTTTGGGGAGGGAAAGGTCATGGAGCTGGGTGAGAGCGGAGTAGTTGAAAGAGCCAGATGGACCAGATCAACTGCTTACTACCTAGGTGACTCTCATTCAGCAGATATTTACTGAGCATAAACCATATGCCAGGCACTGTTCCAAAGACTGGGGATAACAGTAGTGATCAAAACAGACCATCCACTGCTTGCAGTCTGGTGAGAAGAGACCCATGAAAAAAAAATTAATAAAATAGGATGATTTCTGATAGTGACTACTCCTAAAGAAAAATATAAGAGGGTAAGGTGATTAAGAGTGCAAGGGGTCTACTTTAGATTGAAAGGTCACACCCTCCTGGGGTGTCAAGAGATGAGTAGTGAGCAGCCTGAGTAGCGAGAAGAAAGTCAAGGAAGGGCATTTTAGGTGGAGGGAAATAGCAAAGCAAAGCAAAGGGTTTGCAAGGGGGAGAAACAAACTTGGGCATGAAGAGGGAAGGAAAGGAAGCCATAGAGCAGGAACAGAGAGAGCAGAGAAAAACATGATAGATAAGATCGGAGAAGTAGGCCAGATAGTAGAAAAGTTCGCTTAGACTCTCTGAAATCCAATTCCCCCTTTTGTAAAATGGAGACAGTTACAGAATTTAGCTCCTCTGACTGTCTTGAAGATTCAGTATCAGGCATGCAAAGTCAGAAAAGAACAGAAAGAGCTGGATAGGCTTAGATGTGGATGTTGGAGGCTGGGGTTGGAGCCTAAGTCGGGGTGGGGGGCATCTGGGCAGCTAGCAGAAGTGAAATCCTTTGCCAGCTCTCTGCTTCTTCCTACCAGTTCATCCCAATGCCTGTGCTCTATGGCATCTTCTTGTACATGGGGGTGGCAGCAATTAGCAGCATTCAGGTGAGCCCATTACATGTACCATGCAATCCCACTCTTCCTCTTGTTTCCTGCTGCTACCTCCTGCCTATACTTGCCAAGTCCTCTCCTATCCTCTTTTCTGGACTCTTCTGGGCATAGGACTCTGCTGCCCTGCTCTGAATGGGGAGGGTGCCAAGGGAGTCTTCTGGCTTCCCCCTCATGCTAGGCTTGGATAGCTAATAGTGACACCCCCCAGGCTGAGTATCCGGCTTTCCTCTTCCTCTTGTTCCCCTAGTTCACAAAGAGGATACAGCTATTACTGATGCCAGCAAAACAACAGCCAGACCTCCTGCTCTTGCGGCATGTACCTCTGAGCAGGGTCCACCTCTTCACAGCCATCCAGCTTGCCTGCCTGGGTCTGCTTTGGATAATCAAGTCTACCCCTGCAGCCATCATCTTCCCCCTCATGGTGACTTGGGGCTGGGTTGGGTAGTGTCCCAGGGATCCGGGGAGACTCTGAGTCTGCGAGGGTGGCCAAAGCCTCCACAGGAGGAAGATTCTCCCCTTCTCACTTGCCCTGGCTCTGCCTGGTTGGGAATCTTAGGACAGAGAAAGATAGTTGAGAGATACCCACAGATAGGCTAACCCTGGGACACCATTTCCAACCTCTTTGGGTTCAACCACTGACAGAGACATGAAGTAAAAAAAAAAAAACAAAAACCATCACAAACTGAGTCCCTGGGAGGGGCAATACTGGCACTTCTGTTACTCAGTGAAGAGATGACACTGGTGGTTTCTGGTCTTATCCTTACTCCCCTAGGAAGAACCCTGGGCTTCCTAGTAGGGCCAATCTGATTACCATATCCCAGTTCTGTGGCTTCTGGAAAGGTTTTTTTTTTTTTTTTAATTTTAAAAAGATTTTATTTATTTGACAGCGGGGGAGGGGAATACAAGCAGGGGGAGTGGGAGAGGGAGAAGCAGACTCCTCGCTGAGCAGGGATCCCAAGGTGGGGCTTGATCCTAGGACCCTGGGATCATAACCCAAGCCGAAGGCAAACACCTAACAACTGAGCCACCCAGGCACCCCTTCTGGGAAGTTTCTAAACTCTCAGGGCCTCAGTTTCTTTCTCTATACAATGGGAACAATTATATCTCATAGGAATGTGTCAGCATTAAGTGAAGCAATACACAATGCATAGGAGATAGGAAGTGCTCAATGCATGCTACTGCTGCTCATGTTTCACTGCTTTCACTGACAGCCCTGGGCCTTGTTTCTAACCCTGCAGTTGCTGGGCCTGGTGGGTGTCCGAAAAGCACTGGAGAGGGTCTTCTCACCGCAGGAACTCCTTTGGCTGGATGAACTGATGCCAGAGAAGGAAAGGAGCATCCCTGAGAAGGGGCTGGAGCCAGAATATTCACTCAGTGGTGACAGTGAAGATGTGAGCCTCAGATGGGCCCTCTCAGGAGAAGTGGGCAGGGGTGGGGAGAGCCCTTTTGTCCAGGAGTCATTCCTAAAATCTAATCTTTCTATTAAGCCTGAAGATCTGATCAACACAGTCATTCCCCTTAGGTCCTCACTGACACAGGTACACTGAAAGAGTCAGGGAAATCTTTCTTTAGAGGGAAGGGGCCCTGGTTTATGAGTCCGTGGGGGTGGAAAGATCTGGGGACAGCTCTGGTGGTCTTTTCCAACCATGATCTTTGTCTCAGTGTGGGTATATATCCTTTCACTTTCTGGGTCCCTTTCTCTCTGCTCTGTCTATTCCCAACTCATCTTGGGATCTTTCTTTTGCAGTCAGAGCTGATGTATCAGCCGAGGGCTCCAGAAATTAATATTTCTGTGAATTAGCTGGAGTAGGAGTTTGGCAATAGAGACTCCAGGAACCTGAGCATGAGGTAAGGATATGAAGGAAGTGCCCCTGGGGTTGAGTATGGGAACGTGGGGGTCAGACCTTGGAAACCTCCAGCGTACTGGAGGTTTCTCTTCATGTTGCAGTTCCTCTTAAACTCCAAAGTAAGGGAGGGAAGAATGAAATATGGGAGGGTACCTGGGCTTGGCTACCTGTGGCACTGAAGTCTGGCCAGTAGAGGGAGCTCAAGCTCACGCCAAATTGGATGGAGAGCTGCAGGGCTGGGGAGGAAGGGGTATAATGACCAAAGTAGGGTAGGGAGTGGGGAGGAAACCAAGTAAGGGTACAGCTCCCTGCTGCTTTCCTTTGCCCTGGAGGCCACTCCCTTAGCCTTCTGAGAACCACATTCCAGACAAGTGGAGGGATTCTTTGCCATTCCTTCCATTTTTTTCCCATCCATTTATCAAAACTGTTTATGAGTACTATGCTTAAGGAGTATCTAGATACCAGAGATATAGCCGTGAGTATGATAATCATGGTCCCTGACCTCATCAGTTTAAAATCTACCAGGAAAGACCAACAGGGAGTTGCTGGAGTGGGATGGTGTTGGCTAAGGCAAGCACCAGCTGTGGGAGCAGAGAGGCCTCTAAACCCTTCTTGGAGGTGGTGAGGGTGGGGTGGTCGGAGCTGGAGAAGAGGAAATGGTCCATAACTTGAAATTTGAAGAAAAATGAAGAATGGCCAGAATAAGGTGGAGAGAAATGTTCTAGGCAGAGGGTGCAGCATGTGCAAAAGCCTGCTGTTTTTTTCTCCTTGATAAGCTGAATTCTCTTCTGGGCCACAGAAACCCTTCCATCCATGCCTTTCCAAGTTCAAGGGCCCAAGAAGCCCCATCACTTGCAACGGAAAATTCTAGAGGGCAATTCAGCAGCTATCCCAGAACAAGATCTGCTGGACTTTCCATATCCCCTATAGCTCCTTTGCACTATTCTTTGATCTGCTGTGCCCCTGAGTACTTACTCTGACCCCACTGTCTTCTCTCAGTTCACAGGTGTTACTCGGAAGTCTGGATGTTGTTGGCTTTTGGCTTAACTGCCAGATATTCAGTTGACTGGAACCAGTGGGGCAGGACTGGAGGGCAGCTGGCCAAGATTTCCATTACCCTCCTGAGCAGGGCGTAGAGAGTGGCAGGGATGGGGCACCTGGGTGGCTCAGTAGGTTAAGCAGCTGCCTTTGGCTCAGGTCATGATCCCAGGGTCCTGGGATTGAGCCCCAAATTGGGCTTTCTGCTTAGTGGGGAGTCTGCTTCTCCCTCTCCCTTTGCCTGCCGCTCTGCCTACTTGCACGCGCGCACTCTCTCTCTCTCTCTGTCAAATAAATAAAATCTTTAAAAAAAGGAGAGAGAATGGCAGGGAAAACTCAGGTTTGCTGGTAACCCTGGGGGACTGACCACACCCTATTCATCCTCTACCCCATTAAAGGGACCTGGAAACCCTTCCCAATTTGAACTTTCTGTCCTCACAAATTCTTTTACAGAATCGGGGGTCTCTGGTGAACTCTTTTCGGTTTGCAAAAGGGGGAAAAAATCTTTCCCAGAAAAATTATTCCTCTATTTAAAAGTTTTTTATACAGGGTGCCTGGGTGGCTCAGTTGGTTAAGCAACTGACTTACGCTCAGGTCATGATCCTGAAGTCTCAGGATCAAGTCCCACGTTGGGCTCCCAGCTCTGCGGGGAGTCTGCTTCTTCCTCTGACTTCCCCTCTCATGCTCTCGCTCTCTCTCATTCTTTCTCAAATAAATAAAATCTTAAAAAAAAAGTTTTTTATACATATGAAAACAATCCTTTTTTTTTTTAATTTTAAAAGTAAATGATGGGGCACCTGGGTGGCTTGGTGGGTTAAGCCTCTGCCTTTGGCTCAGGTCATGGTCCCAGGGTCTTGGGATCAAGCCCTGCTTCGGGCTCTCTGCTCAGTGGGGAGCCTACTCCCTCCCCACCACCGCCTGCCTCTCTGCCTACTTGTGGTCTCTGTCTGTCAAATAAATAAATAAAATCTTAAAAAAAAATGAGATTAGTGCAAAATATTAAAACACTACAGAAATAAATAATTTTGAAATGAAAACCATACCAGTGATGATCAGTGTCCAAATTTCAGTGTATATTGTTCAAATTTATTTCAAGGGACATGTTAATATTTTCATTAAAATGAGATTATACATTGAGTTCTACAACATGCTTTTCACTTGATATGCATTGAATATTTTCCCCATGCCAATACATATCTACATTTCTTTCTGTAATCTGCATAGAGTGAACAACCTAATAATCTAAAAAGGTACCGTATGTACAAAAGAGTATATAAAATGTCTTCTGGAGTTACAAGAATTTCTTGAAAGCATACACCTTGGAGTGAAATTAAAGAGTCACTTAAAAGAGAACACTTGTGTATGTCAGTTCATCTATGAATTCTAAAGTTAAAAATTATATTTAATCTAGCATTTTCGTTGTTTTAGTTAGGAAGGTTGTTCAGGAATTTTAACCTATATGATGCCAGAAGTGGAAATTCTTTTTTATTTTATAACAGTTTCTTTTTAGGTAACCTCTACACACAACGTGGGGCTCAAACTCATGACCCTGAGATCAAGTGCTATTTGCTCCACCAATTGAGCCAACCAGGTGCCCCAGAAGTGGAAATTCTGACAGGTCTTTTTAATGTTTTAAAGAAGGATCCTAGGGGTGCCTGGGTGGCTCAGTTGGTTAAGCCTCTGACCCTTGATTTTGGCCCAGGTCATGATCTC